ATATATTTGAGTTCATCTTTTGATGTGCTTGCAATAGAAGGTTCAGGTTGGGGTAAGATAACATAATAATTTAAAAAGCCATTATAAATACAGTTGGGGGGTCCCCAGATTACCAATATTCTGTAAGACAAGTGGCTCCTCTGCATTTTCAACACCAGCTTTGATATGAGGTTGGTGTGGTGCATCCATTAGGTATTTTAGGAAAACTTTCTTGAATACAGCCAAGGTACACAGGAGACAGGGAGATAACCCCTAATGGAAATGAATACAAAACAATTAGGAAGTGTACCTATAAAATAGGGAGAGGACTAGTATGAGCCTGGTCCATTTGTCAAAGATACAGAATACAGGCTCATCTAAAAGGACCACGGGGTCAAAAAATAAAAAATAAATTTATTGAAAGTCAATTATATATTAATGAAAACAATGAAAGATGAGATGTGCAGGATAAGCAAAACATCAGAAATAAGTTTAAAAACACAGTATCGGTAGATATGGAATAGGATAACCTCTGATTTCTAAGCACATTAACATAGACACAGTAGTAGCGCACGTCAGAGAGTGCATCTCTAGTGCTGTGGTGTCATGTTTAACGTAATGATATAGGTTTAGGGGTGCACCTTTATTATTTCTACATCCACATTCTTCCAGCACCCACAGCACGCTGTTCAGAACTTTGATCTGCCGACTATTTTAATTTTCATACATATAATATATTTCTACATTTACATTAATATACCTATTAGTGTGATTGGGCACATAGGTTATACATTTCCTTTTGGAGCTCTCACTATCGTTTTCTATTCAATTGCATATCATTGCTGGCACCTTTATATCCTTCCCCCTGTCTCTGTGCGCAGACGTGCGCTACTACTGTGTTTATGTTAATGTGCTTAGAAATCAGAGGTTATCCTATTCCATATATACCGATACTGTGTTTTTAAACTTATTTCTGATGTTTTGCTTATCCTGCACATCTCATCTTTCATTGTTTTCATTAATATATAATTGACTTTCAATAAAAATTTTTTTTATTTTTTGACCCCGTGGTCCTTTTAGATGAGCCTGTATTCTGTATCTTTGACAAATGGACCAAGCTCATACTAGTCCTCTCCCTATTTTATAGGTACACTTCCTAATTGTTTTGTATTCATTTCCATTAGGTATTCAACCTACTGGGGGGCTGGCACTATTTACAGAATTATATTGCTCCTTCACCCCACCTGCAGTAAAATGGACATTTAATGTGTTAGGGGGAGCCAGTGGACACTATTTCCATTTTATTTGTAAAAAAAAAAAACATTGCTTAAAAGGACACTATAGTCACCAGAACAACTACAGCTTAATATAGTTGTTCTGAGGTCTATAGCCAGTCCCTGCAGGCTTTTTGTTGTAAACACTGCCTTTTCACAGAAAAGGCAGTGTTAACATTACAGCATAGGAACACCTCTAGTGGTCACTCCTGAGACAGCCACTAGAGGTGCTTACTGAGTGCGGTTTAGCGTCTCCACACTCTTTATGGAGATGCTGAACTTTCTCCACAGAGATGCAAAGATTGGCCAGGTGGTGTTTGGTTCAGCCACTGCTCCACCTCCTTGGCTGATATCATCAGAATTGCCAGTCTCAGCCAATCAAATGTTTTCTTTTTTTGATGATGTCAGCCAAGGAGGTGGATTGGGGGCGGAGTCTGCACTGGCAGGCTGGAATAAAGGTAAGATTTGACCATATTTATGGAGGGCAAGGGGATGCTAGGGGGCTATATAGCTATATAGTGATTTTAACTCGATAGGGTCAGGAATACATGTTTGTGTTCCTGACCCTACCATGTTCCATTAACTAAATACAATTTGGAGACTGGTGCCTGAACTGGCAAAGTAAGATTTGGAAATTAGTTTTTCTCTCCTTGACTTCAAAATCATTATTGTAACTCCCACTATGCTCATAAAACAATAAGTAGACAAAGTGAGAGATGTAATCTAAGTCGATAAAGTGCCATATATCCCTAACACTTAATATACAGCGGACTCCAAAATAGTCAACATGCTCCTCCTGTAAAATTATCATGACACATAACAGGAATTGCTGTCCATGTAGACTGAACATGAGAGGCCACAGCATATAGTCTTTATATAGACAATTCTCTCTGAGCTCATCCAGCATTGAAGAGCACCGTGAACGTTGAAGTCTGGAGGTCCATGCTAATAAGCAAAATGAAGATACTCTCTTTTCCTTCCTATTCCTTTTGCATTGCACCTCCCCACTATTTCCTTTCCCACTGCCTCAATTTCAACAGCCTCCTCAGCATAAGTTAGATTCCATATGGATTTTTCTTGGGAAAACAAAATATTCAAAGCTATATTTATCATGTTGGTTGTTGATCCAAAAATATATGTATTTGCTATTATGGAGTCAACAAGGATTTTACCCTTTTTGTGGAGTAATTGGCCTTCTTTTGGAACAAAAGGTTTATTGGTTTAATTTGATGAACTTTTTTAAATCTAGATTACTCAGATAACTCTCTCTCTCTTTATATATATATATATATAACCACAATATAGGCTTGGCGAACAAAAAAATATAACAAATGCCTTGGTGCCGTAAACCACATTGTAGATATAAAGTCCCCAAAGAAAAAGGTTTGCACTCTCAGGTCTTCATATATATATATATAAGAAGCCAAGAGGGCTGCACTCACATGAACATGCATACATTACAGGGTGCTGCTGGGGCCAAAATATACAAAATACATAATCCAGCGCACTCGCTTATTCACTAAACAATGATTTAAAATCTTAGAGATTGTAATAGTTTTCTTTAAAAACACCTCACCTAGGCAAAAAATAATGGGGGTTTAGTTAAATTATATGATCATATATTGCATAAGCCTGCCACACCGTCAATGTACCCCATTCTTGGCAGGTCCTACACTAGCAACCTAATGCTAGCTCTTAGTGCAGCCATCTTGGTTTCTTTTATATATTTGGGGAAACTATTACAATCTCTAAGATTTTAAATCATTGTTTAGTGAATAAGCGAGTGCGTTGGATTATGTATTATATATATATTGACGGAGAGATAGAGATTCGTGTCATATAGAATTTATCTAATAAGCATACTGTTTTTATATGAATATAAATTAATTTATAGTAGTGCATATTTATATGTGCATAGATCTATTTACCAATGGAAACATTATGCATTCTTGACAAGCCATTTTGGTGTGGTTAGAAGTAATATGCATCTCTGTCATCTGTCTGAAAATAGATTAATGGTAAGAAATTGGACGGGAGTGGAAAGTGACACCACAAAATACTTGTCTTAATAACCTAGCAACAAGCATACAATCTCTCCTTATTAACAACATCTCCTTTGTAACTATGATCACGATTAAACCTACAAATACCAGATACGTGTTTCTTTCCAGTTCTTCACATACAGGCCTACAGCACTCGAAGGGTTAATTGCAGCACCGTCCATCACAGGATGTTAATACCACAGATTTTTCTTCTCAGATATCTTTGATACATGATGGTTACATGAAGAAGAGGTGTTAAAAATGTATTAAGATAAGGGAGATCAAAGACTTTATCTTAGTGTTGCCTTGAATTATGAATTTTAATGGGGTTTTTAATAATTAAGACAATATGTCATTCATGCTCACACAGCACTACTCAACTATATCTATTAAAGCTAAAGCTCCAGTAAAGATATAAAAAACACTGAAAAATGTACAGTATTTGGTACCTTTAATCCTAGTGTTATATGAGAGGACCTGTAACCCCATAATAAAATGGACCATGGTTTGTCATTTATATCTGTGTTGTGTAGACGTGCACAAACGCAAGATTTATTACCTTTATGTATTGGTAAATCCCTATAATTACACTGATTAACTCCCAGGGACTAATACAGAGATCTGTGTTGCTGCATTATGTTACATCCAGAGGAGGGCTGGTTACATTTGGCCTTGGTGGCATCTGCAAACAAATAGCACAGTTTGAGACCAACCAAACCAGATTAAAGGAACACTGTAGGGTCAGGAACACAAACAGGGCCGGACTGGGGATGCAAAGCAGCCCTAGAAAAAAAATCTATGCCACCCCCATAAGTCATTGTGCAATGTATTGTGTGTAATATATATATATATATATATATATATATATATATAAACCACAAAGGTCTTTGCACGCAGACTGACCCAAATATTTAAGTGCCGGGTGCACAATAAGCCATAGCCAAAAATATAAAATAGTAAATGACGGCTTGCACTCACTGTCTTTTGGAGATAAAAAAGTATTCCTTTATTAGAATTTATTTATACAATAACTTCTAATAAAGGAATACTTTTTATCTACAAAACACTGTGACTGCAAGCCATCCCTTACTATTTTATATAGATATGTGTGTTTATATATTATGCAATTATCTGGGGTAGCAAGACATAGCCTTACATATTATTGGTTAATATATATATATATATATATATATATTTATTTTTCTAAAATAAAATATTGGTCCTTTCAGAGTAAAACATTTAGTTATACAGTAAATATACTTACATGCAGACACAGACAATCTCACTGACACACACAAGCTCATTGATACACAGCCTCAGAGGCAAACAATCTCACTGATATACATAAGCTCATTGACATAAAAATACAAGCTCACAGATGCACACAAATTGGCTTACTGACAGACAATCTCACTGACACACACAGACAAGCTTATTGGTACACACACACAAATGTAGTACAGACAAACTCTGACATGCACAAACTTACTACAGACAAGCTCTCTGTCACACACACATGCTTACTGACACACACACATGCTTTCCCCTCTTTTCCTTTTGCTTTCCTCTTCTTTCCTTTTGCTCTCCTTCTGCTTTCCCCTCCTTTCCTTTTTTTCTCTCTTCTGCTCTGTTCTCCTCTCCTTTTGTTGTCCTTTTGCTCTGCTCTGCTCTCATTTCCTTCTTCTCTTCTTTTGCTCTGCTCTACTCTCCTCTCCTTTTGCTCTCCTTCTGCTTTCCCCTCCTTTCTTTTTGCTCTATATCTGCTTTCCCCTCCTCTCCTTTTCTCTCTCTTCTGCTCTGCTCTCCTCTCCTTTTGCTCTGCTCTCCTTTCCTTTCCTTCTCCTCTCCTTTTGCTCTGCTCTCCTTTCCTTTCATTCTCCTCTCCTTTTGCTCTGCTCACATTTCCTTCTCCTCTCCTTTCCTTTCCCTCAGCTAGTCTCCTTTTCTCTTTTTCTCCTTCTTCTGGGCACCATAGACAGGGAATGCAGGCAGGGGTTGCATTGCGGCGTAATGTTTTCGGTGTCACAGCGTGCTCCACAATTGCCAGAAGATTTAGCGTGCGGGAGGAGGGGATTGCAGCATGGATGGAATCCTTGGGGAGCTTCCATCTTGTATTAGTAGCGCCGCGGCAGCTGCATGGAAGGCTTATATTATATTTTTGTACTGGGAAAGACTGCCCGCAGTAAGTTAATACTGGTGAAGCATTGCAGCTCTCGGTTTAGGCGGCCGAGAGCCCCCTTTTAATGCAAGGTCTTAGGAGATCGCCTAAGTCGCATAATTAGAAACACACACAATCACACTGACACACAAGCACACTGACACACACACATGCTATCTACTGATAAGCTCACTGACACACACATGCTCGCTATGCACACTCACACTGACACATACACATGCTCTCTACAGACAAGCTCATTGACACACACATGCTCTTTACACACAAGTATACTGGCACACACATGCTCACTACCAAGAAGCTCACTAACACACACACATACTCCCTACAGACAAGCTCACTGACACACACATGCTCCCTACAGAAAAGCTCACTGACACACACACATGCCTCCAATAGACAAGCTCACTGACACACAAATGCTTATTGACATGCACATACAAACTCTCTCACTAACAGGCACACACACACACATGCTCACTCACTAGCAGGCACACACACACAAGCTTACTCACTAGCAGGCACCCACACACAAGCTCACTCACAAGCAGGCACACACACACACACAAGCTCACTCACTAGCAGGCACACACACATGCTCACTCACTACCAGACACACACACTACACACAATCTCACTCACTAGCAGGCACCCACACACAATCTCACTATCTAGCAGGCACACACATACACACAAGCTCACTCACTAGCAGCCACACACACACACACAAGCTCACTCACTAGCAGGCACATGCACACAATCACTGTTATAGCTGAAGCTTACCTGGCACTGGTATGTGAAGTTGCCATTTTGTGGCTTCTTCTTTCTAGCCAGGTCAGCAACTTCTGTGGGGCAGTCTTATGTGCGGGAGGTGGAGCTATGTTCAGGAGGCAGGGCTTACATACGGGGCAAGGCACTGACAGATCTCCCTGCGGCCGCACCAGCCCACAGCTCCTCCCTCTTTACTCCCCTCGTACTGTGCCACCCTTTGTCAGTCCGAGGGGAGTAAAGAGGGGGAAAATGCTGAAATGGCATGAGCCTGATGATTTGGGCTCTCTGCCCGGCTCCCAGGTGATGCGGCCCATCAGGAAATTTCCCAGTATCCTGGTAGGCCAGTCCAGCCCTGAACACATACATGCATTTCTGACCCTATAATGTTAAAAACACAATCTAGCCCCCCTGGCTTTCCCCTTGCCCCACTAAATATAGCCCCCCTGGCTTTCCCCTTGCCCCACTAAATATAGTCATATTTGGTCAGCTGCGGTTTTATCTGCCCCTGAACTGCCTGCTTGGCTGACATCATCAGAAGTGTTGATCTAAGCCAATCACAATGCTTTCACATAGGATTGGCTGATATTGTCATACAAGCAGATCAGGGGCAGAGCCAGCACAAGCCAAACACAGTCCTGGCCAATCAGCATCAACTCATATTGATGCATTGAATCAATGCATCTTTATGAGGAAAGTTCAGTGTCTCCTCGCAAAGGGTGGAGACACTGAATGTCAATGCTGTGCACACTGTGCAGCACTGCCCCAGGAAGCATCTCTAGAAGCCATCTGAAGGAGTGGCCAGTGAAGGTATCCCTAGGCTGTAATGTAAACACTGTGTTTTCTCTAAAAAGACAGTGTTTACTGCAAAACAACTGCAGGGATTTATTATACTTACCAGAACAAATACAATAAGCTGTAGTTATTCTGGTGACTATAGTGTCCCTTTAATGTTAATTTTATATTAAAAGGTTGTATCCTAATACTACTGCAAGAACTAGAATAGACTAAATAACAGTAAAATAATACACTTTCATAATAGAATCTAGTATTGTGCTGTGAGGTTACAGCCTTTATATTGTCTATACCAGTGGCTCAGTGGCCAATTGCCCCCCTGCCCTCCTTCCCCCCTCCTTTGATTGCCTTCCCATGCTTACGGACCACATCAGATCTGGCCGGCCATCACCGAACATCCGTCTAACCATGCCCAAGACTACTTTGTGTCCCTGTTCAGAACTGGGCAGCATGTCCTACATTTTCAGCCTGTTGTATTTGAAGTTCTACCTCACCAAGATGTGTCACCTTCCTGTGTTTAATAACCAAGTACAGTGTGAAATTGAAAAGTCATAGTATACGATGTCACAGTATGGAGCTATACAATTAAGGTACTCATGTTTGGAAATTACGCTTTTCAGTCTTCAAGGTCTTGTTCCAGTAGTTGTTCTGCTATATCATACATGTTGGTTTTAGTAAGGGAACTGTATTTATTATAGGTGGACAATATATCAACATGCATTTGTTTGCCCAATATAAGCTCTAAAATGAACCGACTAAAGGGGTAACTTAAAAATCAAACCCAATGTATAATTTAAGACAATATATTTCCTATATTTAATTATACCATGTTTCCTATATTTTTAGATGGTTTGGGCATATATTTGTGTCAAGGGGCCAAGAAAACTTGTTTCATTTCTCCCAAGTGACAAGAATAAACATTGCTGCTGTGAGAGCATGTACTTTGCCAGGTCTAGTTATAGAAGAATGATAATAGACCACACAACAACACTGCATCGTTGCTGCCAAAAGCATACTTATCATTCTGTGTAACGCAAATGGTTCAATTTGTTATTTTTTTTAAAATAAAGCCTTAACATATCCTTGTGAGGTTTCCACAATAGTAACAAACAAGACCTATACAGGCTGATACGTCTGCATGTTTCTGTTTCTGCCATCCTTCCTTTCTTTGTGCTGTCGTAACACTTTCCATCTCCGAAATGGGGCTTCCCCTAATGCTTTCTTCTTATGGTGACTCACGGCTTATTTTTATCTTTAGAAAACAGCAAAGAGGTATGTTCTTTGAAATAAAATTACTTGAGTAAAGATAGACAGACAAACAGATACTAGGTGTGTGCTCACTAAATTGTGAATTATGGGGATTGGTAACTCTCTTACAAAAATTAAGGCTAAAATAGTAGAGCTGAAAAAATTATTAGATTATTTTTTCCATTTTAGCTTTTTTACTCTTGGCTTAGTCATTCTATTATAAAGTATTCAAAAACAGAATTCACTGTTTAGCATATAAACTTAAGTACGAAGTCATTTACACAAGACTGGTCTCAAAAGGATAACTCAAAAGGCCTGGATCATTATCTTTCCTGTTGCAGCACTTGGAGGAGCGATGGTTGTGCAGACTGGAGGGTCTTCAACTTCATCCAGAACTACTCCAACACTGTCTTTGGCAAATAGCAATTTTCTAAAACTTCCCAAACATTCTAATCTGGTTGAGGTCTGGGCTTTTGCTTGGCCATGCTAAGACATTCAGGTTCATATTTTAAGTAAGTGAAAGTATAGAAGTGTTGTAGCGGATTGCGTTTGGCTGTCCATAATATTTCTTGTTGCAACATTATTCCCTATGGTTTTGTTACTTATAAGCAATCTATTGCCTAAGCATTCATCTGGTTGTTCAGTAGGAACGCTGTGGATACAAAGTTGAATAGCTACGTTCAACAGATGAACAAACTACCGAACAACCAGACTACCCCAGAGAGAAGCATCGCTCTAATTTACCTCCCCATCGTTCTTCACACCAGCCTGAAAAGCATATGAATGTACTGTGTATACCCTGGGTGGGCGCCATTCGACATGCAAACACGTGGCGGCGGCAATATTGCCATACGAACGCCCAGCGGTGTTTGGTCGTCGAGTGTCTGGAACCCAAATCAGACACTCGACCATGCGAACACCGCAGAGACCTCTATACCTCCACACGTTCGTGAGGAAACACACGAACGGCCAGGCATTCGGTAAAAAGATGCCCATGAACAAGGGAATTCATATGAATCCAGGCAAAGCCCATTATGTCAAGTATTTTCGTATATTTTACCCCGTGAACAGAGACCTAGCACAAGGCCAGAACACATGGAACCGCTTTTGGCTATTACCTCGTGTGCAGTCGGTCAAACGAACACTTCCAGGAAATTCCCGAACCCCTGATCTGATCTGGATGATTTTTGAGGACGTTGCTCTCCCAGATCAGGGCTATCAGGGGATGTATCATTTAGGGGTATATATCATGTCTTTGGGGTACATCTGGAAAACAGGGAAAACTGTGTGTTGAAACTGTTCTGTTAATTGTGTTATCTCTCAAACTGAGGGGAGGAGATGTGTGGGCTGTAACCTGTATGTGATTGGCTAATGTACATTTTTCTGTGGGTGTCTCCCTTGCATGGGAGAGTTACATAAAAACAGGGTATGTGGCACTGAACATCAGTTCTGCTCCTGATACTGTGTGTCGTCCAGTTATTGAGAAAGGTGATGGGATATCTGTGGATTGTTTTTGTTGCTTATGCTGTGCTTCCTGTGTTAACTACTTGTTCCTGATCAACTCTTGGATTACCAGTGCAGAAAGCCTATGTGGAACTAGCGCTGCGCTACAGGTGTCTTTACCCTGTAATCATTTTCATATGGATTCAGCATCCTCAGTTGCTGATGTTAAACTTCAAACTTCATGACTTTTGTCATGGGCCAAAAAACAGAACTACGTATAAAAATGTCTGCTTCAGAGATTCTAGATAGTTAAAAATTAATATGCTTTATTCCATTCCGGAGTAGCCTAGTGTATTTGTTTTAGGATGACTATACAGGGAGTGCAGAATTATTAGGCAAGTTGTATTTTTGAGGATTAATTTTATTATTGAACAACAACCATGTTCTCAATGAACCCAAAAAACTAATTAATATCAAAGCTGAATATTTTTGGAAGTAGTTTTTAGTTTGTTTTTAGTTATAGCTATGTTAGGGGGATATCTGTGTGTGCAGGTGACTATTACTGTGCATAATTATTAGGCAACTTAACAAAAAACAAATATATACCCATTTCAATTATTTATTATTACCAGTGAAACCAATATAACATCTCAACATTCACAAATATACATTTCTGACATTCAAAAACAAACAAAAACAAATCAGTGACCAATATAGCCACCTTTCTTTG